CCATTTAAATTTTCATCATTAAGCTTCAGAATCAACAGCCTAGTGAGATGAAGGGGCAGGGCACATGACATCTATCTTGAGCACAAATGCAGCTATGGTAAGTGACCTTGTTATAACACAGTTGTCTCCTTACTCCATTACAACACAGCTCCAATTGTAGTGAGCGGGGGTCCTTAAATGTATTGCATTACGGAGAAGTAAAATGGGTTGACCTGGTTAGGGAACACAGTTAGTTGGAATCATGTTGTATGCCAGTCAGTGGGCAGCTGCATTGTATGTTGAAGTCACTGGTACAGCCGTATGGGTAACGTGTTAATATTTATTATTTGTAGTGTAGATGGGTCCTCAGAGCTATTGCTCCAGTTTCACTGACTACACACTTAGAATCAATTTTTCAAAAGTGCCTAAATGACTTAGGAGCCTGAGTCTCATTTTCAATAGTGACATTGGGCTTTTCTACACACAAAAACTCTACTGCTTTAACTATATGGGTACAAGCCCCCTAGTGTGGGTGCAGTTATGTGGGTATAAGGACACAACTATTTTGGTAGAAAACGGATACCTCTAACAAGAATAGTTAAACTGGTACAAGAACTGTGGGTAGTCATGGACTTAGGCTCCTAAATCACCTAGGCGCTTTTGAAATTTTTACTCAACATGTCATATTCAGAGGGACTAGACACTAAACTGCATTTCAAATTAAATCTTAAATTCTGCAAGAAACATTGAAATGACCAGAAATTCACTAAACACCATAAAATCAAGCTCTAGAGTGAGGCATTTCTGCACAGGTTTTTCAGTTGTTTGCTGTATGTGTAAAGGGCAGTGTGATCCTAATTTTGGAGCAGCCTGCTTCCCTGCTTTAAACTGGTGGGAAACCAACTATTTCCTTGTGACAGGAGCCTTGAATTTTGGCTATCCACTTACTGCTTGGACAAGCACACTTTGCTGTTTCGGGCGGGGGGGGCATGTCATTTTTAAAGTATGGAGATATTTGCTGGCTGGTCACATGTATTAAAAGGCTGAATTCTTGTGAGTATAATGTAGACATAAGCAAAATACTGCAACTGGACTCGTTTTGGGGGAAAGAGTTACCAAAATGGCTTCCTTTTTCGTTTGTTTACACTCCCCCTGGTCTGGCTACTGTGTGTATTATTTCCTCTGTAGAGATTTGCATTAACATGCTACTTCTTACATAGGAGGCGCCCTCTTGGGCTTTGTTTGGTTTGTTTTCACTATAGCACAGTGGGGGGGGGAGGGTGTCTCACATGCAATGTTCTATAGTAGGGGGATTTGTGGGGAGATCTCCTTGTGTTCTGTACGTTGTGTGTGCATAGCCTCCATAGATATGCGTGGGGATACGCTGTTTGTGTGAGAGAGAATTGACTGGCGGGAGGAGAGTTATTAAGAAACTTTGCTTTGGCTACTCTCTATCCTTGGGGCTGCGTGGCGCCAGCACCCTCAAGTTGAAAGGAAAACAGCCATTCTCATTTCCAACTGCCCACTGAGATCCTTAAGGCGACAAAGACACCAAAGTGAGTTTTATTTGCTGGTAAGCCAGAGGGAAGAGAAAAGAAAAGCCAATTCCCCCTTAAAAAGAGCCGACAAATCCTTTTTGCTCTTTTGTGTGAGCTTTTCCTATTCACATGGCGCGTTCATCCGTGTGATTCCCAATTTATTGTCATTACTTAGTTATTAATTGTTCTCATCTGGGTTTAATTGAGCAACCAGGGACTTTACCCCACGGGTCGGCGGGGGGGGGGGGAGACCTAAAGCAAAAATGCGGTCGGTAGGACTCGTTGCTTCAGAGATCCACCCCAAATTGTCATAATGTAAAAAAAAAAAAAAAAAAAAAAAAGCCGAGTAAGCCAGAGAGATGAAAGGGCATCGCTCTGATTTCAAATCTCAGCGTTCTTTTGGTGATAATTAATTTCATATCCGCCCAGAGGTGCAGGCAAAGGTGAGGGTGGCAGCCCCTACTTTCCCAAAAGCAAACAGTGGGTGTTGCCTGCAGATGTTGGGGTGACTCCCGCCGTCTGATCTTTTGAAAAGCGCTTCTCAAGGTGAATTCTGGTACAAGATCTAATCTCACAGGCGGCAGTGTTATCCCAGGCCACTCTCCTCGAGCCCGAACGTGGGAAATCGCTCGCATCTCGGTGTGTCTCGCCACAGCACAGGGTTCTGCGCTGTTGTCATTATTACAGCCGCTGTCATTTTCACAAGGCGGAGAAAAGAAAGGACAAAAAGACGGGTTCGCAAGGAAAAGGAAAGGAGGGGGGGAGGAGGAGAAAGATGAGAGCGGGACGATTAGAAAAGCAAGCGCTTGAGAGAGTGGCAAGGCGCAGGTATGTAGTGCTGAGTTAGTGAAAGCATCATTGATATTTAGAAGATGATAAAAGTCCCGCTTCGCCCCCAACTACAGTCTCGCTGGAGCCATGTTGTGCCTGCAGAAGATTGCCCGGGCTCATTACAGCAATTATTTCTCTTCTAACTTTGCCTCAACCTTAATGTTTTAAATTGCTGGCAAGGGGAGCAGGGACAAGCCCAGTGCCATCGCTTGAACGTAAGGACAGAGAGAAAAAAGTCCTTGCCTAGCGCTCCTTCGCAAACCGAAATCAGATTGAGTGGCACGGTTGGAAAGAATTTATGGGGCGCATTCATGTCAAAGCAACAATGGGCACGTATAGTGGGGGACTTCATTATACTGCAACGCGGTGGGATCTTGTGGGTTGAGCTCGAGTCTGTTGGTCTCAGACGAAATGCTTCCGTACGGCCAGAGGGTCCCCACATTTGTTCGAAGATCTGCGTCCACAGGGAAAATAACAGCCTCATACTTCTGACCTTCGCGTTGGGCAGGCGGGGTTTGTAGGTTTTGCCTTACAATACCAAATAGCTGAGTGCGATCGCCCGAGTTGGCCCATGGGTGTCTGACACGAGTTCCCCCGCTGTAACTGAATACCTTTAATGTCGCTAATATTTTCTTGAGGGTAATTTTGACAAGTCCAGACTTCAATCAAAGCCGGTTTGAAATTGACCTTTCAAAGAGTTATGGAGTCCAGAAAACCTGGGGGTCCCCCCCTAGCTCTCCAGGCGCCAGCGCTAAACTGGACTTCAATCCTACAGGGCCCAAGGGCAGAATTCCTGAACTGCTAACTGTTCCCCACCCCTTTCCTTTAAGAGACTTGTGTCCCTAACCCCCCACCACCAAACTGCAAGGTCTGTCCCCTCCACTTCCCAGTCCCCGGCCCGCCTGCTGCTGGCTTTCACCACTGATCGCGCTGCCCACCCAGCCACCCAACATAGGCATGGAGGTGTCCAGTGCCCCTCTATACAGCGAACCGGCCTTGCCCCTCAACCCAGTGAGGGCAATGTCCCGTCTCCCTCCCCACACACACCAGGCCAGACTGGATTGCAATGTGCCCCCACTTAGCACACCGAGTTACCTACATCCTCGGAGTGACTCCAATAGGTTTCAACCAGAAACTGAATAGAGCCCCTACCTATTCCCCTCAACACCATAGATCCTTCAGAGCCCCAAAGCGCAGCCTGGCGGAGAGGAAGCGATAGCCCCGTGATTCCCTGTGAAATGCCACCGAGTTATATTTTGCTTGTAGCCCCGATAACTTCAGACGAGAAACCAGCTTCGCCTTCAGAGCGCGTTAATACTCCCGCAATACTCTGGGAGTTGCTGGGGATTGGGTTTTTTTAATCTCATCAGCAGCACTCGGGTTAGAAATGTATCACCTACTTCACTTAATCGCACAGAAAATTGGGGCTCCTGAAATGTGACTATTCGGGGGAAATTATTCTGCTCAGCTGGATTTTGAAATAATCTGGGACAAGAAAGTGGACACTCGGTTGTTCAAGCAGTCAGCTGAGATCAGCATCCCAGTGCATCTAATCTCTTCATTCCACGATTCTGACATTTACCGAGCAATTCATTTTGAGTCCAAATTGTTCGATGGGTCAGGATATTTTTTTTTTCGCATTAGAGAAAAAGTGGGGGAACTTTTAAGAAGTAAAATTCAAATAAATCCGGGAGTACACCCTAAAAATATGCTACAGGCTGGGCAATACAACACCATGTGTATAACCCTGGCGCAAGGAAAGTATTTTTCATGTGTGCTCGCTGCGGAATCTCATCTACACAGTGATGTCTTGTTTGGAAGGAGAACAAATTCAAGTCCTTAGCTCAGGTCTGGTGTGGAGACAAAGGGCAATCAACATACGGCAAGCACTGTAGCTTAAAATTAATTTATTTAACAAATATAGCTATAATATAAATGATAATAAAATTTCAAATATACAGTATATTACATAGTACACAGAGCCCCTTCCAAAGGAGCTGTTGGAGGAAGAAACACAGATAACAGACAGCGCTGTTAAATGGATACGGAGAGACTATTGTACATTTTGTCTCTTTCTTGCGAGAGAGACAGAAAAGTGTTCCTGGCATTCAGCCTTTGTCGTTTCATTCCAAGCCAACCCTTCCCAAATAAGTGGTCTATCCCCAAACTTTTAGCGCTGCTTGCATGTCTCGGAATTAACCTGGGAAGGAATCACGGGGCTTGGAGACACTGCCCCTTGTCTGAACCGGAAGGATGGTTAATGTTTTAGGTTTCTTCTGGTTTGGGGATCTGAGGGAGGACCAGCTTGTGGAAACCACTGGCGAAATCGGATCAACGTTTAAACGCAGCGAGGGTGCAGAAGAATAAAGAGCTAAAAGACGCAAACAAAGCCAGACTTGACCGTGGAGCCCGGTGGCTGGAAGTCTCTGCAAAGGGGCTCTTAGGAACTTCGCAGAGTTTGAGGAGTGTGGAACTGGGGCGAGAGGTGCAGAGAAGGGGGGTGGGTGGGTTGGAGGGGCGCTTGAAAGCCAAGCGGGGGGTTGGTGGGGACAAGATGGCTAGGCAGGGACAGGAGCTGGCCCGCTGGCTTTTGAGGGAGGGGGCGCCCCAGCCAGGCTGCTGTCAGGTGGGCTCCTTGCGCCCCGCTGCGCTCTATGTTAGGTGGTACATGCTGTATCCCACGTGAGCCGTGTAGAGTCCCACGGGAGCCACGGGCAGCCCTGCCCGCTGGAAGGGGCTGGAGGCTCCGTACAGGGAGGCGCCCGCCACCGCCGGGCCGCCCAGAGGGAAGGAGATGCCGAAAGCGGCCGGAGGCAGCATGGGCTTGGCTGCCATCTTCAGCTTCTCCAGCTCGGCCTCCTGTAGTCTCTTGGCCTTGGCGCGCCGGTTCTGGAACCAGATCTTCACCTGGGTCTCGGTGAGGCTCAGCGAGCTGGAGAACTCCGCTCGCTCGGCGATGGACAGATACTGCTTCTGCCGAAACTTCCTCTCCAGGGCCAGCAGCTGCGCCGTGGTGAACGGGGTCCGAGGCTTCCTGTTGGTCTTGTGCTTGCGCAGGGTGCAGGCCGGGGGGCTCAGCCGCCCTGGGGGAAGGGAGAAAGGGCAACAAGGACAAAAAAAAAAAAGAGGCCAACTGGTTATCAGCACATCGCACCTGGCAGAGAGGTGGGGAGAGGGGTTGAGTCTGGAGGCTAAAATTCAGATCCTAACCCCTGCCCAAATGCAGGGGGCTGGGGCTTTGGAGCGGGCTCATCTCCAATGTCTACAGCACTTTTGAAATGATCGCCCTCCTTCTGCGGAGCAATGCGGTGTCTTTTTCAAAGACTGTGTAACAAAGGGTTCAAAACTCTCCCCCCAAATGGTCACAGCCCCAGTGATGCTTACTAGCGCCCATTGAGGGCTGATAGCTAGATCATTCATCTCGCTTCATATAGAGCAGCCTACAAAATGCTTTGCACTGGGACAGGTAGTCGTATATCCTCAGTGTCCGCTTATTTTTTTAAATGTACAAGACACAAAAGGGATGCCGGTGTTAGCCTAGGACAGACAGAGGGGGAAGACCCCCAAGAAAGTGTCTGGGTTGTCTTTTTATTGGACTAAACTACAAAAATAAAACAGGCAGGCCTTCTCAGGCTCACACCCTCTTCATTAGGCCCCTGGGAAAGAGATTAAGCATGTAATTACTTAGGAACTCTGAATTAACACTCTGTCGCTCTATTGCCCTTCATATCCTTCTGCTTCCTATCGCCTAATTTAAAATGTAAAAGACACTCTTCCAAACCGTGGCCTATTTTATTTTGAGTTAAAAATACTTCTGCTCATTTTGTAATATAAATAAGTGAAAGCCACAAAAATATGCACACAACTCACTTTTGGAGACTGTCCTCTCTCAAGGACCTTTGAAGGAGTTTCACCGTGCTAAACTCTATATGGCAACATGGGCATAAATCAAATTCTGCTCGTTTTATTTAGTAAGGCGAGCAGAATTGGGCCCACAAAGAACCAGAGATAGAATCCTCCTGCACTGAGTTTACAGAATTTCTGGAACTCTGCACAATAATTAGACATGATTTTTTTCATATAAATAGAGCTCATCCGGTTTGATATTTTTTAGAAATTTACTTATATCAAGAATAAAGTGGAAAAAAAATCTAAAATTGCAGATTTATGTACTTTCAAAATAAAATACTTGCGATTACAGAGCCTGCACTCATGACGCCTGTAACGAGTCCCAAGACTGAAGCATCAGGATTTAAAAACCTCATCTCTATGTGTATCGCTACAAAATAATACAAACCACTTTCAACAAGCTCACCACTGAGATGAAGCCATGATAGGAGAATGTGTATGGTTCGTTCAAATCAAAACTTGAACTGACATACGCAAACAAGTATTTTCCCCCCAAACAACGTTTGGTAGGAGACATTTCAATTCCTCCTTTCCATTTGAAACTCTGAAGCCATCTTCTGCCATTAGAAACATTTAAAATAATGTATTTTAAAAGATACAATATTAAACATGCTGGGGAAAGAAATTGCACTGGAATTTCGGTATAACTAACTTCGCTTAAGCGGAACTCCAGTTCTAGTGATCTACAAGGATTGTCCCAAACCGATTCAACGCAATGCGATGTGCAAATAGCTTTTGGGGAGCTTTTGCTTTTATGGGGGGAGGGGGGACGAAGGGAAATAGTGGCTTATCTGTAATGAAATTTAAAACTAGAGAGTCCCAAACATCAGTCCTGTGGAATTCCCCGGTGATCAGAACTCAGGGCTCTGGAGTTTGCGTTCTAGTGCACACAACATACCCGGCACATTGCTGTATTTACACATTCAATTTAGTCACACAAATCGGATCTCCTACTTACTAGGGGGAGGTGGGGAGAACCTGGGGTTCTGCATCCAGGCCGTCCTCTCTTGCTTCTCGGGGCTTTCCGATTTGACAAGTGCATCTTCGGGCAATTTTACTAGTCCCCCGACAGAAAAATGGCTGTTGATCGGTAGCGGGGAAGTCGGCGTCTCTGCTGCCACCGATAAGGATCCCACCCTGGGACTGAGGGTCTGATGAGTGGAAGTCCCAGCAGCCAGGGGCACTGCCCCTTCGGGGCTGGCGGCGATGCTCTCTCTGGCCCCCGGCTTCCTGTGATCAGCCATGAGCGCCTCCACGCTGAAGGGCAGGAGGGCTGGGGGGGACACTTTGGGCTTGTCACTCTCCTCCTCTCCTCCCATCGCCGCCACGCTCGCCTGGATGCAGCTGCTGGGCTTGCTGAAAGCAGACGCAGGAGACTCCTCGATTTTGACCCCGAGATGTACAGTAGTCATATCAACACCGGGGGCCATGCAGAGGCAGTCCTCCTTCCCGACCTGAGCGCTAAGCCGCGGCAGCCGCCGTTCATGGGGGTTGTGACCAGCCAGGGCAGCAGCAACTCCTTCGCGTCGCTCTCGGGGCTTTGGGCACTTTTCAGCCCCAGCTCCCAGCAGGACTTGTTAATAAGGCCAAGCGAACTCCAGAGCTGTCCAATCAGCGCGCAGAGGGGAGGGACGGCGGCTTCCCATTGGACGCGGAGCGGGACTTCGCTGCTATCAACAGGCCGCTGCCTTCTTGCTCCCGCTGAACCGCGAGGATGTTAGTGGGAAACTTTTCTCTGGAGTAAATTCTGTGCCCGTCTCTTGTCTTTTGCAAGAATGGCTCCTATTCAAGCCTCTTGCGTTCTATTCACGCCGGGGTTTTGTTTGTTTTGTTTTGTTTTTACTGCGATGGAAATTCTCTGAGCAGCACATTTCTAACCCCCAGATTGTTTTTTCAGTGTAAGGAACATGGCCGTTGATGCGATGCAAATACACGTCTTGTGGTTGGGTTTGTTTTTAAATCTATGGCAATGAGAAACATAACATCAACGCCCACGTATAAAAGTACCCTGCGGGTGTATGTCCAATAAGCGCCTGGGGCGCATTGTGAAGAGTAGAAAAGATCCAAAGGAATAATATATGGATATATTAATACACTCCTGAAACCAAGTCCAGTTTTGTCTGTTATTGACATAAAATGTTAACATAAACAAAACGCTGGGGTGCCCGTAGTGTGACCGTACAATGTGAGTCCTTATAGAGGCTCCATCAGCTGTCTGCGCGTTTAAAACATGGCGAGTATTTTTCAATGACACACATGGTGTCAAAGGCAGTGTTTACATATATACATGTCTGTACGCACATACATATATAGTTGAAGTATGATATATTTCATTAAATAAATATGCCTGGATGTGCAGATACAATAACATATAATAAAATAGGCATTCCTGTAAAAAGAAAACCTAAGCTTCTCGACCCATTAAAGACTTGGCTATTTTGTTTTGTAACTTTGTTTTACGATCCCTTATCCTTGTGCCCAGCCCAGGACGGATGTGCAGTAAAGCTGAGCAGCTCTCTAATACTGTGATTGGCCACTCGCTGAGAAAAGTTTATTGATAGCTGCAGGGCTCTAATCTCCTAGAAACACAAGAGGCTCTTGCAGTCATTTAAGGGTAATTATCTAATCGGGGAGGGACAGCGAATTCCCTTTCATTTTAAACTGGACCCACTAAAACGTGTAGGTTATGAGCATATAGATTATGAAATGAATTGCTATAATGGAAATTTTATTATCTGGTACGTGACAGATCTGATTGAAATGAATTATCATGTATATGCACATATAAGATAATTCATTTATGCATCCATATCTATACGAATCATCTTTAAATAAAGGATCATATAGAATATAAACAACACAATATTATACTAATATAGGGTATAGCATATTGTGTTTTTTATATTCTATATGATCCTTTACAAAAAGATTATTTGTATATGTATATTAAAATTTACGCACCTACTGATGCTCACACATCTATACACACGTATACATGTGTTAAATGTATTGCATTTGACGACCACGTTCCATTAATGTAGGACCCTTCCATTGTCATTGAAAAGCTGACTGTGAAAACGGTTTCAAACAATGTAATCAAACTCTAGTCTGTTGTTGTTACTTTTTCAAAATCCATATCCCCTGCCTTCGAAGAGCCATGTGGAATGTACAAGTTCTGCCCAGCCTCCCTCCTGCAGTCTGGTGGGAATGAAGAGCGATTTCCCCCCCCCCCTGCGGCTCTTATCGATCCTTCTGAGGGGCTGGGTCGGTCCGCTGGGGTGAGTGGCTTCTCCGAGAAGCGGCTGCATTGCTAATTGCGAGAATAAACAATCTGTCACGATTAGTCAGTGCCTCTAATAGGCAGACAAGTGATGTTGTTTTTAGGCGCCAGCAGCGGTCTGATCAAAGGCTTCAACTGGAGGGGGACTATTGAGGACGTTAACCCGCATCAAGGGAGCAAGACGCCTTAGCCCTGGGACATCAGCACATTCAGCCTGACAAAATTAGTTTGCTCTACCAATCACAGGACATTTTCCCAAACCCTGATGCTGGATGTGGGGCAACATTTCTTTTTATTTTTTCAAGTATAAAATCTTTTTTTTTTAAAGTTGCCTATTGATCCTACAGGTAGAATCCTTATTTCTGGTTCCCAAACGCAGTCGTTCAACAAGACAGGGTGATCATGGCTTTGTTATACCCACTGGCAGCCTTTAGGTTGCTTCCGATCTCATTATTTTGATGGAAACATGAATGGGAAATATACTGTTTACTTTTTTTTAGACTGTATTGGGGAGCGGTGGGTGTACTTGCTGGAGCTTTAGGAGACGGGTGTGTAGCCCATTCTGAGAGCTAGATCCCGCTCTCACTGAGAGATGTCAGGATGAGATAATTACTCCCTTATTCATCTCCCAGCAATGAACGCTTTATGTTTACGTTTCTGCCGTGCTTGGTGGTATTTTAATCACGGTAGCATAGCAAGGGCTTGATAGTAATTCACAGGCTGGCAAGAGCTTTGCTTGAAAGGGGGAATCCAGTAGTTTTTTTTTCCTTTTATCTTTTTTTAATTAAACATACAAGCTCCCAGTTCAGGAGGAAGAGATCAACTTTACCTCCATGCAACGAAATCTTCCCCGATACTGTTTTTTTTTACGTTTAGCAGAAGGATTTGAACGTCAAAGCTTTTCCTGAGTGAGCTGCTCCGCTATGGAGGATCTAAGCACTGAGGGATTTTAGACCATTTATTTTGCTTGTGTCATGATGACACTCTGACAACTGCTTTTCAATAGCTCTGTCATTCCCCTTTCTGGGCTCTCGGAAATTCCGAAGTGAAGTGGGGGCAGTTGGCTGTTTTATGGGTGTTTGTTTCAGTCCAGTGTTTTTATTGGAATTTGCGGAGCTTCAGTAAGGCGCTTGCGTTGGATAACAATATTGGGCAATTAGCATCTTACAAAGTCCCGTTTAATACAATGAATGTGCTATGAAAACCGATTACCTATAGCATTTTATTTCAGTGTGTGAATACAACAAATGATCATAAAAAGGGAGGGCAGGGGGGGGGGGAAGGCAACTCTAAGCCAATTCAGGGCATTGTCTGCCTTTTGTAAACGTTACCTTTGAATTAGTGCGGAGAAATAAGAAAGAAGGGGTTGAAAAGACGGCAACTCTCTTTTGTCTTAGGTTACCGGAGATCAGACAGCTCTGCAAAGTACATGACAGGCTTTGCAGACTGGGGAACGGGCCATTCCATAAACCGAAATGTAAAGGCACCCTGGACCTGGATTCAAAGTGGCCATGTGCTTGCATTTATAACCAAGGATGCCCTATACTGAAGATCGTTTGGAAAGATACATCAAACTATGCGCACGATATTTACAGACGTCTAGTTCGTTTATTGTGTGGCTGGGTCTTTATGGAAACTTCCCAGAGATCAACACACATTCCTAGTGTTAAAATTGTCCTGTAGACTTACTACCCTCTCAGAACTCTAAGCTTCCCCCCCCACACACATACCCCTCCTCTTTTCCACTCCTGAACCTTAATAAAGCGAAACGAGCTGATCAAACATATTCTTAACTACTTTTAAGGTTAGAGCCATCTGGTATGTTCCTCCTGAGATTATCAAGAGTGGTAATTTTGTTGGTCAAACAAGCCCCAGTTGCAAAGACGTCCTTGTCTCTTTAAGACTCGGTGGGGCTCGAGGCTGAATGGAAAGCACTATTTCAAGTGGCCCAAATTAATTTGATCGCGACATTATGATGCACTTGGAAAAGATGAAAGAAAAGGCTGGCCGTCTCCTCCAAGATCTCTATAATTATAGATAATATATCCTATTTCAAAGCAATTAGCTCAATCAGGCGTAACGAGGCACTTTGCTGCCAGGGAGCAACAATGCCTTACGGTTATTTAAGCTTCAAGATGTCAAACAGACTCCGAGACTCTTTGCTTTGCCCAAAAGGGAACTTGGCTCTCTTGGTGAAAGTCCCCATGGCAAACGCAGTGGTTTCCCTTCAGTAACAACAGACCTTTAAAAAAAAAGGGGGGGGGGACTCTGATAAAGGTGCCAACATTCCCCCAAAGTACTTCAGCATCACTCCTGTCGGCGATTGTGTCTGTGATGGTGAAAATACTACTACACAATTAATATCGTATCACTACTGCTCCTACCTAGTGAGATTAAATTGACCTCCGTGTAACTTTTTCCCTCCCTCAGCATTACTCTACCATGCTTTTGACCATTGATTTTAGGCTTCTTTTGTTTTCCAAGGCACTCATTCACTCCTCCATCCGACCTCTTTCTTTCTTTCTTTCTTTCTTTCATTCTGAATATTTTCCATTTGATCTAGAGGATAAAGCATTCATTGGATGAGTTAATCGTCGAGTCTCGCCAGCAAATATGATCTAATTTGATTCAAAACAACTTCCATTCATCCATTTTCTTCCATCAATGGGCCTGATGCTGCCCCCATTTAAACCTAAGGGAATTTGGCAGTCGACTTCAAATGGAGCAGCATCGGGCCCAAAGTTTATTTCTGCTCTGGAGCAGCCTTCCACGTGTGTACCTGAGACTTGACATTTCCCTAGCTGTTAACCTGAGTGGTTGCTTTGAGGTTGTTCGTTTAACCCACTTTAAGTTTTAAAATTAATTGCTCTCCCTTTTTTATCTTAAACCGTAACCACATAGAGATGACAAGGCTCCCAAAGGAAAACCCAGCACCCCCGCAACTGACTATAAATTATATTCTTCTGTGCGTTAGAAATGAGTTGCCTTTTTTCTATACACAATTATATCTGCGGGGGGAAATGCAGCGTTTAAACAGCGATGCTAAAATCCACTCCGTCTGATGTCAAAACGCGGAAGGTCAGTGCAATAGCCGACCAGTCACAGAAGACACGGGAGGTGCGGGAAAAGCAATGCTGTGATGCTACTTCG